GGTGGATGCTAGAGCTCCTGAATGGTCATCCAGACAGGATATGGACTTGCCTTGGTGTCAGCCATGGGGTTTTTGATCACCTGATGCAGGTGCTCACCCATCATGGTTTTGTGCCTTCTTGCAATGGAATTTCTGTGGAGGAACAACTTGGGATATTCCTCTACACCTGTGTTACTGGGTTGTCATCCTGGCATGTTGCTGAGAGGTTCCAACACTCACCAGGGACCATCACTAGGTAGGGAGTTCATTGGACTGTCTGATATTTTTCTCACAATTTTTTAGATATTTCAAAGCAATGTTGGCTTTCTTTTCTGGGGGACAATTCTATGCATCCCAAGTGCAATTCCCCACCAACAACACTCCCATATCAACTATGATTACTAGTGACCCATGCTTCTGATTTTTCCAGGATTGTATTGGTGCAGTTCATGGCACTCATATTCAAGCATTCACTGCTGCTGAGGACCAGCCTTACATGAGGAACCAGAAGGGCTACCTATCTCAAAACAGTCTCTTCATCTGTGATTTTGACTTCTTCTTCACATATACCCTCACTGGCTTTGATGGGTCAACTGCAGATGCAACCATGTGGCATGATGCACACAGGAATGACTTGCACATGCCACCTGGGAAGTACCTTCTTGCAGATGCAGGGTTTGGGACCTGTGATGCACTTCTGGTTCCCTATTGAGGTGTTCATTACCATGTGAAAGAATGGTGCAAGGCTGGATTAGGGTAAGTTGCTATTCCATCCTGCTCAGTGTACTTGTAACTTCTATTTTATAGACCTCAAAACTGAGAGGAGTTATTCAACCTTCACCATGCTGGACTTAGAAATGCCATTGAACAGATATTTGGTGTTATAAAATGCAGGTGGAGGATTCTTCAAATTCCCCCTGAATATAGCATCCACACCCAAACTCAAGTACCTGCTGCTCTCTGTGCCCTCCACAATTTCATATGGTGCTATGATCCAGAAGAGTTCTTTGACCCTGAACTTGCCATGGACATAGGAGAGGATGATGGTATTGGAAGCCTTGGTGATGGACCAGCAGATGCTGCAGAGAGGAGAAGGGCTGATAATAGGTGTGACAACATTGCAGAGATGTGGATTGACTATCAGCACCAGCTTACAATTAGGGGCCTTCTCTGAGCCTGAACATTCAGATTTCATGGTGTACAAATATATGTTCTTACAATTGTTCCACACTCATGTAGAAAAATAACTTCCATTGTCAAAAGGAAGCTAGTCATAGTCATGTACATTTTATTATGTACATATTTGTATAAAGGGGGGGGGGGGGGGGTACATTTGTATATTGTATATAAAAAAACAAAACAAACACCTATCTCTGCCCATCCTGGTACTTCATCAGCCAATACTGCATCCAAATCTGCTTCACCAGCTCCTGATGCTTGAGGAAAATATTCACTTCATCCAGGGTCACACTGAGGAAGTAGTTGCTGATGTTGATCTGATTGTCTGTCAAGAGCTGCAGCATGTTGTTGGTGTAGTCCATGGCAGTGTCAACAAGGGGATTGGTAATGGGTGGTGGGGGCAATTGGGCAGCAATCACATGCATGAAGTTATTGAGCCTGGAGGTGATGGCAGTGATGAATGAACTGCAATCTTCTTCAGCATGCACTTTGGCCAATGGGGGCTGAGATCACTTTGATCCACCTTCGGACATCACAATGGACTCAGCTTTCCTTTTTCCACAACTGATACTGGTGATGGCCAATGACAACAATGACCTGGCTGATACATGTGACAAAAACTGGATGGTGCAGAAGGGGGGATGAAGTTTGGATCCATGGACTGCATGTCCTTGTGATGGTGAGTGTTGAGAGCATGTGTCATGTTGAGGAGGGAGAGGGAGGAAGGGGGGGTAGGAATAGTTGAAGTGGTGGGGGGTGTGGTAGAGGCAGGAGTATTGAAGGCAGAGGTCATGGTTGTAGAAGGTGCGGTAGTGGCATGTGGCCAGTAGATAAACTGACCTCAGCCATGTGAGTGGAGAAGGAGCTCTATGCTGGCAAAGTGGGGGAACCTGGAATTGTGAAACAGCTTTGTGTCTTTGTGCACCTGACTAGATGTTTAGTGGATGATCTGACAAGAAAAAAACTACATTACCTTTACATACCAATCCCAAAGATCAGTGTTGTCCAGCAAGATCATTGCACCATGCTCATTGTCATAAGCAAAGCCAGAGGCCACTGATTTAAGATTGGTGATGGTGTAGTAGGATTTTTTAAGCTGGATAATTGTTAGCAAGGCAAAAAAAAAGAATGATACAATGACTTACTGCCTTGAACTTCCACTCACACAATTCAGCTGTCTTATTGCCATTATCCAGACCCAGTGGATAATTATGAGCCATGTGGGCTGCTGTGGCATTCCACATAGCCTTCTTAAAGTTCCCATCACTGGCCTGTGAAAGATGAGAGGCCAAGAAATCCAGTATTGCACCTTCCTCCTCTGTTGTCCATACTACAGCTTTCTTGTGAGTCCTGGGGGGAGGCAGGGGGTTCCATGGGTCTAGAGGATTGATTGTAAGGCCATGTGAGCACAATGAGTGGGTTGATCCCACAGATGAGCCAGACATTTGATGATCACAGTAACTGGGTGACAATGGTTGCATACCTCAGGTGGATGCACATGATAGTTCACATCACATGACCCTCTTAACTGAAGCTGAAGTTGAAAACTTGGACTTTGCATTCACAGGGTGAACAATGCCTTACAGTTTGTTCATACTGTAAATTTTTACCAATAGACAAGTTACCCCCAAAGATGAGAAAAAGTCAAGACTGCCCCAGACTGCCCCTAGACTGTCCCCTACACCACCTTTCCTTTGCTCAGGCTATAGGAGCCCCTTTGGTCTTACTCACTCCCTCTCAGATGCTGGTACTCCATCCACAATTCACTCTTATATCTTTCCTCAAATATGGAGCCCACTGCAAGGGGCTTCTGTCTTAGCCTGGCACCCCTCCAAACAGTCTCAGATTCATTTTTGCAGTCTCCTGCTTCATTTTTGCAATTTTCAGGCTCAGTTTAGCAAGTTTGGCCTCTCGGCCTCGTTTTCACAGTCGCATTAGTCGCATATTCGTGTTTTCTCGCTCGCGCGCATTCGCATATCAACTATTCACACTCGTGTTACCCCCCGACATCATGCTCGGCCTTAGAATTCCGTGTCGAGGCTCTCCCGAAGCTCCGAGCTTCTCTGGGCGCCCCGAGGACCTTCAACATTATTTTGATGACATAAGCGACTTCTGTGATGGATACAGGCTCTCGGATGGACACGTGCGCATCAAACTCGCACTCAAATATGCGCCTTTCGAGTCGGCCAACCTCTGGTCGCATTTCGTGGAGGATAGTGGTGGAGACTGGACATGTTTTACCTCAGAAGTGGTCCGACTGTACCCGGAGCTAGAGCAGTCTTGCAGGAACCGGTTTTTCAGGCTTAGAAGTGCACTTGCAGGCTCGGACACCGTCTCCATATCTTCTCTCGGCGAGTATTTTCGCAGTTTTTGTTGTTATTAGCAGTCTCTCGAAAAGCAGAAAGGGTCGACATCTCGTCTACCCGAGATGTTTTATTTCGGGTTCCCACCCGAGTTCAGACACAAGCTCCTCGAGTGTCACAGCAACTCGCCAGACGAAGGCGCTTACTGTTGGTAGTATCATAGGTGCAGCAAAACGGATCCTCGCACTTTGGAATGGCCTCTGGAGGTGTTCGAAGGTCGACGACTCACGCGTGCAGCCACCACGCAGCTCGGACAATCGCCCACCCCACTGTCATATTCATTCTGCTTCTTCTGCGGACTTTCGGGTCATATACGCGCAAGCTGCCATTCGTACAAGTCATATTTGGCCGCGGGAAGGTGTTGCCTTGTAAACGGTCGCGTTGCACTACCTACCGGACAGGAAATCCTGCGCGAGGTTGCCGGATGGACTCTGTGAGACCGCCTGGACAACTGAGCCTCGCTGACAAGCCAGCCCGAGTTGCTCTTGGTAAGCGAGCCTCCATCCGTCGCGCGCACACAGCTGGAGGAAGGTAGTTGTGTGCATGGGGCTCAATTGGCCTCGTCACCCGCTCAGTCACCCGCTCAGTCACCCGGTCGGTCGCTCTCGCATCTATGTCCACCCACACTCCCGCCTTCTTGCGACTTAGTCGACCCGCTCTCATACGTACCAACTAAAGCAGCTGTGCTGCCAAAGGGTAAGCCCAGTCGCGCGCTGCCAGATGGGCCATCCAGCAAGTCGTCGCCACCCAGCCCTCATTTGGAGTCGTTGAGCACGCGGATTTTGGAGGTGATACCACTGACTGTGCGTGCTCGCAGTCCGTCGCCCGTACGCCGCCCAGTCGCGTTGTCAGGATGCCCATTTGCCATACCAGCTGCATACTCCCGCGCTCCATCGCACTCGCGCACTCGCAGCCGCTCGCCACTGCTATCGCACGCGCTCACACAGCTAGTCGTGGGTCAGCCCGCTATACAGCCTCGTCCACCACCGGTTCCACCCGAAACAGCGGACCTCATAGAGTGGTAACCTCGCTTCGGCATGGTCTCTTTCGTGTGCTATATAGACTTCGCTTTTCATCATTTTTCTTTGGTCATTTTTGTGTTACTTAGTTTTTCTGTTCGTACACACTTGTCCCATTCCCAACGGAGCAAGGCCAGCACGTCAAGATTGTATCTCGCGCGCCTCATCGCTTAGCCTCTCGCTTTTCTGCGACCTTGTACTACTTGGTGAGCGCTTTCCAGGGACCCCAGGAACGTTTCACCGCGCTCAGCGGTTCCAGATTTGTTCCATTCTGGCTATATCTCGCGCAATTCTGCGCCGTGTCTCTCGCTTTTTCGCAGACTAGTACTACACGACAAGACCTTTCCAGAGATCCCAAGAATGTCTTGGCGCGCCCAGTGGTTCCAGAGGTATTCGCGTTCTTGCGAGAAGGCTCACCCCGAGGACTTGCTGTCGTAGCTCGCGTGGTTCAGCACCATTCCTATCGCTTTTCGAACCGTTTGTTCCACTCGCTGAGACCTCTCTGGGGAGGCCTTTCTCGTCTTGTTCCATACAGCCGTTGTTGAGATGTTGCCATTGTCGCGTTTGGAGGGCAGTTACCGCCTCCTGGAGTTTCGTGTTGACCCCCTCTCCCCATCTTCAAAGACTTCCTTGCGTATCTCGCTCGTTTCACCATCGCGCCCCTCGCTTTTTCGCGCAGTTGTACTACTTGACGAGAGCTCTCCAACGATACCTAGAACGCTTCGATGCGCTAAGCGGTTCCAGAGAAATTCTGCAGTTTGTGGGAGGGCGCACTCTCGAAGACCCTCGCGCGCCTCGCTCGTTTCGCCGTCGCGTGTCTCGCTTTTTGGGTCGCACACTCTCCTCGAGGAACCCTTCCCGTCGACTCCTGGTTCGTGACATTCCGCGCAGTCATTGTTGAGATATGGTCGTTGTCGCTTTCAGAGGTCTGCGACATAACTTTGCAAATAACTCGGCATTGGGAGGTCGGATTGGTATGATTCCTTTTGTCCCCGGCTCTTCTACAGGCCGTCTGTAAGCACCCGAGGTTTCGTATCGATCGCCCGAACCGTTGTCGTGCAAGGGTCTTCCTTTCCCCCTCCCCTTGAACACTTTCTCGTGTAGCTCCTTTGTTTCGCCATCGCGCCTCCCGCTTTTCTACGTGAACGTACTACTCGTCGAGTGCGTTCCAATGGTGTCCAGAACGTTTCGACGCGCCCAGTGGCCCTGGAGAGGTTTCGTGATTTGAGCGAGGGCACACCGTCGAACCCCTTCTTGCATATCTCGCTCGTTACGCCGTCGCGCCTCTCGCTTTTTCGGCTGCACACTCCCCTCTGGGAACCCTTCAAATCGACTGCTTGCTCGTGAAATTTCGCGCAGTCGTTGTCAAGATATGGCCGTTTTCGCGTTCATAGATATGCGAGACAACCTTGTGAATATCTCGAGGTTGGGTGCTTCGATTGATGTGGTTCCTTTTGCGCCAGACTCGCCAAGAGGTCGTCCACGAGTCCCCGTTGTTTCGTGTCGATCGCCCCAGCCGTTGTCGCGCGAGAGTCTTTCCTCTCCCCTCCCCCAGGACGCTTTCCCGCATATCTCCCCCGTTTCGCCGTCGCGCCTCTCGCTTTTTCGGATGTACACTCCCCTCGATTAACCCTCCCCGTTGACACCGCATTCATGAAATTCCGCGCCGTCGTTGCAGAGATATGCCCCATTTGGTCGTCGGAGGCAGCTGTGGACGAAATTGCGAATATCTTGGGACTGGGTGCCCCGTCTCCCTTCAATCCTTTTGCGACTGGTTCGTCGCAGTCCCCTCTGTGGCCTCCTCTCGGCTTGTAGCGCTTCGAGTCGTTGTTGTTGATCAACAGTCCCCCTTCCCTCGCATCCCTCGTTGAGTGTCTTGGTCATTCATTTCAGCGTTTATGCTCGCTAGTGCTGGTGCTTCCTCTCTTCGGGTTGACTGGGGACAGTCAACATCTAAGGCTCCCCTCAGGTGTAAGGAGAAAGATCTCCTTACTATGGGATTGGGCATTAATTCCTATTTTATTTGTTTTATGGTTTCTTTACTTACTGTTGTGGGTACTATACTTGAGTACTGTAGTTCGCTTTTTGTGTGCTTAGTCAGCACTTACTTAGAGTTTGTTCATACTGTAAGTTTTTACCAATAGATGAGTCACCCCCAAGGACAAGAACAAGTCCAAGACTGCTCCAGACTGCCCCTAGACCATCCCCTACACCACCTTTCCTTTGCTCAGGCTATAGGAGCCCCTTTGGTCTTACTCACTCCCTCTCAGATTCTGGTACTCCATCCACAACTCAGTCTTATATCTTTCCTCACAGCAGAATTTGCAATTAGGGAGTAGGAAGGAAGGAGAAGCTGTTCAGCAGCTAGTTCTGAATCACTGGATGGTGAGGGCAACAAAGAAGTTAGTATTGAAAGAGGCAAAAGTTCTTGACACTGCACAGGAGGATCAAAAGGTTTGTCAAAGTTGAAACCTCCTGGAAATGCTGGGTAAAATGCCGGGGACCCTGGGCTCTGAAAGATCTCATCTAAACTGAGATCTGAGTATGATGAGTGTGGCTCTGAAATATCTCTAGGATCAGCTACCAGGAATAAGATTTCTGATGAAGAGATAGATAGTCTGTGGAAGGGCTCTAGGAGCTCTTCAAGTTTGGTTCTTTGATGAGTGGGTTGTAAGGATCTCCTTTCCAGATCTACAGACCCCTCACATTGGGCTCCAAAACATTGTGGGACATGACTTCTGGGAAGCATGCAACTAGAGGAAGGCTGTAGAGAGAATTCCCTAGGAACATCCCCAGGGGTGCTGGATGGAAGGAGAAGTCAAGGATAAAACTAGAAGGGGAGGGGTATTCATGCAAGGGCCACAGAATTTAATTCCAGAGGGATGTGGATGCATGAAGAACAGCAAGATGGGTATATGAAATTTTGAGAAGCCATTATGTGATGAGAAGAGTGTATTTGAGGTGAGAGGGATACAGGATAAGGCATGCAGGATTGGAAGATGCAGGAGACATGAGGACCACTGGAGACACTGTAGACACTGTAGACTCAGGAAAGGATGACAGACACCAGCAAATTATAGATGCACATGAAATAGTCCAGCAAATAGTAGATGAGAGTAAAATGGAACAATGGTAAGGGGTATCTTCCAACAGAACAAGGGTACATGTACAAGTGAGAGGGGGAAACACAGGAGGGCAGAGCATACTGGCACAAAGTCCAGCTTGTGGAATTTGGGGCAACAGGGGTAACCAGAGTTTTATAGAGGTGACTGGCATGGATGAGTGGTGATGTGGGGCAGTGGCTCAGCTACTGAATTCTGGATGACCCTGGGGAAATGTGGAATTTCCATATCAGCTCATTGATGACTGGGTGACATGCTGAAGGTCAGGAGAAACTCTGAAGGCAGCAGGGGTTGGAAGGAAACACAAGGTTATGAGCAGGAAGAATTCTGAAAGCATCTGAAGGCCTAGAGTGATAGGGGTTTGTCAGAGGCCTGTGGAATTTAGTGACAGATTCCTGTTCCAGCCTCAGGGAGTATACAGCTCTCTACACTGCTCACTCCAATCTAGAACTCCATCAGATAGACATCAAAGGGGCATATCCAAATGGCACACTCACCAACAATGAAATCATCTACATGTGTGTTAGGGGTTATGCCCCAAAAATAGGATCTACTTAGTATGGGCATGTGATACAGAGGTATCACATGCCTCCTTGTATATAAGTGTCATCTTGAAAATTTTAGATAGATATCTTTTTTGTCTCTATGTCTTACTGTGTGAATACCATATGGTGCACTTTGTGCACATTGTGAGTCAAAGTGTGGAAAGGTGGTATAAACCAACCAAAACCAACACCAAAGACAAATAATGGGTGAGTGGTGGTTTTGCCTCTGCAGAACCTGGAGTGCAGAAAAAAATCTAAAATGTGGGGGGGGGGTCTTCAAGTGGAGTGCTCCTGGCACAAGTCAATGACAAGTTACACAGGAGAAGATGAATGAATGCTGATTGAGAAGGGGATGCTGAATGGAGCAAGGGTGTTCAGCCAAAAGGACTCCTAGCACAAGTTGATGTCAAGTTACACAGGAGTGGATGGATGACTAAGCAGGTGTGCTGACAAAGCACAGATGATACTTCAGATAATGAATGAAGGTAGATAGACCCTTATTGGAGCCTCAACTACCTAGGATGATGAATGGGGATGGTTAAACTCTTCCAAATGAGCCTCAACTGTCAGTGATGAGATATGCACTGAACTGACTTCTGGACTGCTTCTTGATTGCTTGTGGATTGCTTTTGTACTGCTTGTGGGTTGTAGCTAAGTACACAGGGGTTTATATACTGTGGGGGGAGCACAGCTTGTGACAAACAAGGCACAAACACTTAGTAAGTAATGAGTAAGGACTGAGTAATCATGATGAGTAAGCAAGAAATGAAAAGTAAGCAAGCAAAGAAGATTGGTAAGTATTGGCAATAAACAAGTCAAGGACAGTCAAAATATCACAGAATGAGTCAAATAAAGTCAGAAACTGAGTAAGTGCACTGATATCACATTAGGGGGTGGTGATGCAAGTCAGATCTTGGTGGAGACATCTCTAGATCCAAAGATGGCATGACAGATGGATGGTGTTTCCAGATAGGGAAGTATTAATTCCAGAATTGAAGGGCATGAGTCAGGCATCAAAGGGGCTAGGGTGTTGGGGGTCTGTAGGGCAATGGGAGCATAAGCAATCATGTCTCCCACCCTTTCATCCTCTCAGTGGAGTTAACAAAAGCTTCATGGACAGAGCTCTGATGGAGGAGGAGAAGGGGGGATGTCTTCTGCTGGATCTTGCAGTAAGAAGGCAAGATGCATGTCATACTTGTCATGAATGCAATCAGGGAGGTGGGAGACCAGTAGACTATGCTGCAGCTGTTGCAATGCAGGAAGAATGATGCAGTGCAGGGAGCAGGGAGGAACAGTCCATATGCTTCATCAACCAGGGAGACCAAAATGACCACATAAGACCTTTCTAACTGAGTGACAGACCTGAGGCAACCAAAGAATGTCCTTCTGGAAGTCATACTGACAAGGAGAACACACTGACCAAGCTGCATGGGATGAGACAGGGCTGACAATGATAGGATGAACCAGGGGGGTTCAGGATGGATGGAAGCTGGCAGGAATGCCTGGCAGATATACATAGCCACTGTCTCTGGCAAATGAGACAAGTGAGATGATCAACAAAGAGGTGGCCATGATTGATGGACTTAACAAAATGAGCATCTGATGGATGGAGTGCTGTAGAAATGTGTAGGGTGCAAGGATCCTTGCCAAATTTGGAAGGCAGAACTGTGTGGCTGAGCACTTTAAGTGAGTGTGAGAACAGAGTCAATATCTTTGGAAATGGTGGAGATATGATGAAAACCAGAATGCTGTACATGGGTGCTAAAAACCTTTAACATGCACTTAACTCACTTCCTCTTTTCTCTTTAGCACTGACAACTCATTCTTGTGTGAATGATGACTGTTAACATCCAGCAGTCTTTCTATGCATGAGGCCTTTAGTCTTCATCTGCATGGCATGGACATTGCATGCAACTTGTCAATGAGTTAGGCAGAGTCAGCTGTAACCATGTCCACAACACCTTTGGTGTGTGACACTGTCCTCAGTTGTCCCCCTTCCCCATGTAGACATGCTCAGCTGTGTACCCATCCTCACTAACCTCTTTCACCCACACCCTCTGACTCTCCTTGCCTTCCCCTCACTCACTGTACCCCATGTCACCTTCTACCCCATACTCAACCCCCTCTTCCTCCAACAATGCATCCCTTTGACCTCGAACCTGCACTGTGCTCCTCGAACCTCTCCCTTACTCTCACCAACATCCCCAAGACTCCT